GGCCCTCCTGGAGCCCTCTCGGTGTCCTCCCGGCGCCCTCTTGGTGCCCTCTCGGTAGAGCATCTGAGACAATCGTTTCAGATGCTCTACCGCGGGGGGTATCGTAAGGCGTCTTGGTCGCTTCCTGGTCTTGTCTCGGGGCCTCTGGGGGGAGGCCCTCGTGGAGCCCTCTGGGGTCCTTCTGGAGCTCCTGGCGCCCTCTTCGGGCCCCCGCGGTAGCATCTGGAACAGCCGTTTCAGATGCTCTGACCCAGGTGGGGCTTTTGGGTCTTTGGGCTACTCGGCCCCCGCCCCTGAGGGCTTGCCTTGGGCACCCCGGGGCCATCTTGGAGCCCTCATAAGGCCCTCCTGTACTACGGATTCTGTGGCAGAGGCGTGTTTCCGCCCTTATCCGCCCTTTTCCACCCTCATCCGCCCTATGCCGCCTTCTTCCGCTCTCGTCCGCCCTTTTACGCGACATCCGCCATCATCCGACCTCTTCCGCCTGACGACGGATGACGGCGGATGAGGCTCAGCCGCCCTCAGCCGCCCTCAGCCGCCCTCATCCGCCGTCATCCGCCGTCTTCCGCCGTCTTCCGCCGTCTTCCGCCGTCGTCCGCCGTCTTCCGCCGTCTTCCGCCGTCATCCGCCGTCTTCCGCCGTTTTCCGCCATCTTCCGTCGTCTTCCGCCGTCTTCCGCCGTCATCCGCCATCTTCTGTCGTCTTCGGCCGTCTTCCGCCGTCTTCCGCCCTCATCCGCCGTCATCCGCCATCTTCCGCCGTCATCCGCCGTCATCCGCCGTCTCCCGCCGTCATCCGCCGTCTTCCGCCGTCTCCCGCCGTCTTCCGCCGTCATCCGCCGTCTTCCGCCGTCTTCCGCCATCATCCGCCGTCATCCGCCGTCATTTTTGTTTGCCGCCATATCCGTTGCAAAAACCATTGAAAACGATCGTTTTTGCCACGGGTATGGTGGCAAACGCTGGTTTCCGCAGTCTTCCGCCGTCATCCGCCGTCGTCCGCCGCCTTCCGCCGTCTTCCGCCGTCTTCCGCCGTCTTCCGCCATCTTCCGCCGTCATCCCCCGTCATCCGCCGTCTTCCGCCGTCATCCGCCGTCTTCCGCCGTCTTCCGCCGTCTTCCGCCGTCTTCCGCCGTCTTCCGCCGTCGTCCGCCGTCGTCCGCCGTCTTCCGCCGTCATCCCCCCTCATCCGCCGTCTTCCGCCGTCATCCGCCGTCTTCCGCCGCGATCCGCCGATTTCCGTCGTTTTCTGCCGTCTTCCGCTGTCCTCCGCCGTCATTTCGCCGCTGGCAAAATGTACTCCACCCTTATCCGCCGGTTTCCGCGTGTTCCCACCCTCTTCCGCCCTCTTCCGCCCTCATCCCCCGTCTTCCGCCGCTTTTCGCCCGCATTGCAGATGAGGGCAGTTGAGGGCGGAAACACCCCTCTGCCACAGAATACCTCCCCCCCGGTGGAGCACCTGAAACGGCCGTTTCAGATGATCCGCTGCGAGGCCACAAGAGGGCGTCAGGCCCGAAGAAGGCTCCAGGAGGACCCAACGAGAGGGCTCCAAAGGGGTCACAGAGGCACCGAGACAAACCCAAGAGGCGCCCAAGGCGCCTCGAGAGACCCCCCGCGATAGAGCATCTGAAACGGCCGTTTCAGATGCTCCACCGCTAGGGGGGGGGGGCGCAAGATGCCGCCTGGAGGGCCCTGAAGGTGCTCCTGGAGGTCCGAAGAGGGCCCTGCGAGGGCTCCAAGAGGGCCCTGGGGGGCCTCAAGACAAGTCCTCGGGGGAGGGGGTACGAAGCCCCAAGACTATCTGAAATGGTCCCGCAGGGATAAAAAAGTGGGCATCCAGAGTCTCATCTTTTTTGTTGTTCTTGGGAGCTTATTCTGGGCCTCCTGGGGCCCCAAGAGAGCTCCCGGAGGGCTCTAATAGGGCCCCAAGAGGGCTCCAGGAGAGCCCAACAGGGCCTCAAGTGGGCTCCAAGAGGGCACTGGAGGCTAAAGAGGGCCCTTTATCCTTCTTCCTTCCTACCACCCCTTCCCCTCGCCCTTCTAACTTCGAACACCTCCTTCTCGCCATCCTCCCTCGCCTCCTCCACCCGCGTCCTGCTTTCTGCTCGTTCCATTTCCCTGCCGAATCGCGTGTTTCCCCATTCTTCCTCTACTCTTCGTCCTCCTCCACCTCCTCCCTCTCTCTCTCTCTCTCCTGCTCTGGCACTATTCTCCCCCTCCCTCTCCTACCTTTTCACTGACGAGTCGTCATTCATCCAATCCTCGTCCTTCTTCCTCCATCCTCATCCTTCCTCCATGCTCGTCCTTCCTCCATCCTCGTCCTTCCTCGTCCTTCCTCGTCGTCCTCCTCCGCCTCCTCCATTCTCCTCCATCCGTATCCTCTCCCCCTGCCTCCAAAGTTGTTCGGTCCCCTCCTTTTCTCACAATTCTTCTTCCTCTCCTCCTCCTCCTCCGCCTCCTGTTCCTCCTCCTCCTTCTCTGCCTCCTGCTCTCCATCCGCTTTCCTCACCTTCGCCGTTCTCGTCCCCCGTCCTCCTCCCCCTCATCCCATTCGCCCCTCAACCCTCCCCATCGTAGCCGCCGCATGCATTTCGAGCTGCCAGCAGGCGGCGGCGGAGAGGGCGGATCGGAGTGCGCAGCAGGGTTCGCGAGACGGAGGAGCAGCAGCAGCAGCGGCAGCAAGAGAAGGGAACGAAGGAGGAGAGGAGGAGCCATCCTCCCTCCCCCATGTCCTCGCCCTCCTGTAGGGAGGAGAAATGCGAGGGAGGTGGACGGGCATGATAGCTCACCCCGCCGTTTCCCTTCCCCCTCATGTTGGTGCACCGCCTCTTTCCCCTTCTCTTTGTCGCCCTCGTGACCCCTCGTCCTCCCCACTATCCATAGTTTTCCTCGTACTCCTTGTGCTCCCAGCCCTACACAAGTGTCCCCATCAACCTCTACACAAACTGGGTGGGCCTGAACTCACACTTCTTAGTACCACCCTACTCAGACCACTCCGAACTACGACGACAATGTAGTCCCCATATGATGTGTTCTCCTCGTCGTCTTTGTATGTGTAATGTTTGTGTTTTGTGTTCGGCTTGATTCTGGCAGTTTGCCTTTAAGGGCGTGTGCTGGTCGAGCGGCAGTGCTGTTTTCACGCTGGCTCCCGGCGCTTTCCTAACAGAAATGCCTGTCCCATCTGAACTTTCGATTTCGGCGCAGAAACGTCCAGACGACGTTGAACGAACGAGCTCGTGAAAGTCAGCACTTCATCCTCCCCCCCCGCCCCGCCGCTCCAGGCGCCCCGCGAGTGGGGCCGCCCTGCGCACCCCCGCGCGGCGCCCGCCCCCGCCCGCCGCGGCGGCGCCACTGCGAGGAGAGTAGCACAGCCTCGGGGGCCCGCCGCGCTACTGGGCGAGGAGGCCGCCGACGCTGACGACGTTGCCGTACGATGCTGGCAGCGGCGACGTCGATGATGACGGCGACGGCCGACGGCGCAGACGCTGACGGCGCCGACGCAAACGGCGCCAACGGCGACGACGTTGCCGTACGATGCCGGCAACGGCAACGGAGGCGTCGGCGACGGCGACGACGACGTTGCCGTACGACGCCGGCTACGGCGACGGCGACAGAGGCGACGCCGACGGCGGCGGCGACGAAGACGACGGACGACGACGTGGTTCGGACCCTCGGCACATCCGGGGACATCCGAGGCCAGGGCGCAAGGGAAGAGCAGGACCACCGCGTCGCGAGCCGAGGATAAGTGCGGCGGTGCACTTTTGGGGAAGTCAAGGGACGGCTCGACGTCGGACTTCGCAGTCCATCGCTCGCTGAAAAGCGCAGGGACAAGCAGCCCCAGCCAAGGGAAAAGAAACGGGGAGACGCACAGATGATTCAAGCAAGGGCAGCAGCAGCACATCAGCAGACAACAGCAGCAGCACAGCAGCGGACAGCAGGACTGCTCGGGATGGAGAGCTGGTTCTCGGGAAGGGGTCAGCAACGTACCTCCATGGGCCCTCACTGCGAAAAAACACGACGGCTGCTGATGCGCTATGCGAAGCGTATGGTAGCTGTTCTGGCCCTCGGCGCTCGTCGCACCCACAAGGCTCCGGGCACATGACGTGTCTGGCCTGTGAGGGCAGTCCCGCAGGGCAATCCCCTCGGGGAGGGCCTGCGCTTGCGAATCGTATGCTGCGCGGCAATGGGTGAACAAAAACATTGCTCGTCAATTGACCAATTCCGGAAACCCTGAACCCAAAAACTGCTGCCATCTCGTGGGGACGCATGTTTTACTTCCGCCGGCTTCCGCCGGTCTTCCGCTGGGTTTCCGCCGGCGGAGGTGGCCTCGTTTTACTTCCGCCAGCTTCTGCCGCATTCCGTCGAGGCAGAGGTGCAAACTCCTTCGATCCTCGCAATGCGTGGCCCTGTCTTGAATGCTTCAGTTGGAAGGGCATGAGCAGCGCACCTCGGGCAAGGCAGGACGAGGCAGAGCCACGCGCTCTTCGCCCTGTTGTCGTCGACGACGACGTCTCGGGTGTCACATGTTTTTTGGGGGGCATCCAGACGCGACCCTCGATCCTCGTTCCGCTCCACACGAACTGTCCTTTTCGGGTCGACTGGGTAACTCTTATGGATCGGGCACAACTCTTTCGACGATGCTCCACGCGATGATTTCAGTTCTGGGCCCACCGAGCACGACCCGAAAACACCACTACCGGGAGAGTGCAAAAAATGTGCTTCCCTCCGAGTCGGCTGGAATACTTCCGTGTCGTCTTCAAAATGTGGCGAGTGGGTCATTTCGGCTAACTCTTGAAAGAGATAGCGCTTTGGAGCCCATACATGTAATTTGAATCAAACTTCAACATGGTTGACCTCGGGCGCGCCACCCCCCGGCCGCCACGCTGGTTGCCCTGACGCGCGAGTGCATCATGATTGACAAGTGGTACGCAGAGAACGGAATCGGAATCTTTCGGAGCGCTGCAGTAGAAGACAACTGAGACCACGACCTGGGTTGCAGTATCATCAGCGCCCGTCGACGGCGATGACTTGCTGCATCTCCGAGATGGTGCTGACAGACCTCACGTCTTCCACCCGCACGTAGTACTCTTGATCCGTAGACCTGCGTGCAAGACAATCAAAAAAAACCTCCTGCACTTGAACTAGGAACGAACGTCGAACAATCCAAGCTCACTGGATCAGGACGGGGGGAGGAGGGAAGGCAGAGGATGCAGGCATTGTGGAGAAGAGAAACAGCGAGGAGGAGGGAGGGATGGTCAAGGACGGATGGAAGGAAGAAGGCAGTGCAGATGAAGGCGCGAGGAGGGAGCAAGGAGGAAAGAAGGCGAGGTGGAGACATGGAGAGCCAGGCAGGAGGGAGCCGCTCCCTCCCCCCTCCTGCGCCCCCTCCCCCCCATCTGCGTCCCCGCCTCCCCTGTCCTGGCGCCCCTGAAAGAAGCTCCGTATCCTTCGGGTTCTTGGCCTGTTGGGAATGACCTCTGCGGCGCGCCAGCCCGTGCTGTGAGCTTGCGCATCCGACGCACCCGACCTCCTCGTCCCCCTCCTCTTCTAACCTCACGCGCTACACTGCCCATGTCAGGGGAAGCGCCAGCTGCAGAGCTTGGGGCCGCACTCCGCCGCACCCACTGGTATAACATGTGGAACTAGCAGTGCGTAGCATCGTCTACGGCCGCGCCAGATTTGCTACGGACGCGCATCCACTGTGATCGCCCAGCGGGGCGGCAGGAGGCAAGACAAGGCAGACTAGAGATCGATTGTAAAAAACACTCTAGAAGGACACATGAACCAGGCCAGGAGCCCTACCAGCGTGGGCAATTGGAGGGCGCCTGTGTGCCAAGGGGTTGCCAGATCTCGTTCAAAAACATGATGTGCGAGGATCAATCAGAACGGCTGCAAGGCAAGATACATCCCACACGCAGCCACGCATGCCTCCAGGCAGTGCCAGTCGCGCCCCGCGCGAGTTGAAAACTCAGCTGAACTACTCGCGTCCACTCCTCGACACCGTCGACGGGCAAGCCGCCTGTGCTGCACATACTCCATCCAACCTCATGTAGCGCCCTCGCGAGTACGACTGTCGAAGAAGGCGCGGAGCAAAGCATCTGGCAAAGTGCGCGTGCAGCGTGAATCCGAAGGTCGCCACAACGCGTCAGCCTCACTATCGAGCTCCACGAAGCCGTGCCGTCCCCTATCGGTGCAGGCTTCTCGCGGGAAGGCACCGCACCGTACTGTCAACGTCTCGAACTCCCGGTGCAGGGAAGCTACGCGCCGATCGTACACATGATGCCAGCATGTCCAATGACAGCCACTTGACGACGAACTTCCAGCCCAACGACTGATGAGCCCTACGCGTCGAAACACAATAACCGAGTTCAAAGAGAGCCAGTGAGAGACGAATAGGTATGGACATGTATGCATACATGTGCAAGTACATGGATATACACATTTGTTCATACACCGATAAAGCGAGATGGGGGCTAACATGCTCACGTGAGCATCTAACTACATGTCTATAAATATAAAGAGAGAGAGAGAGAGAGAGAGAGAGAGAGAGAGAGAGAGAGAGAAAAAAAAAAAGAGAGAGAGAGAGAGAGAGGGAGAGAGACAAAGAGAGATAGAAGGAGAGAGAGAGAGAGTGAGTGGGAGAGGAAGAGAGAGAGAGAGAGAGAGAGAGAGGGGGAGAGACCAAGCGGACAGAGAGATGACAAGGACGGCGGGCGGGAGTGCACGCCTTCCCTTCTTATCCCGCCCCCAGCGCCATTGAAAACAATTTTGGCGTCGGCGACTTGTGCGCCCAGGCGGGGCGGATTGGGGTGGGAGGGAGACGGCGGCTCTTCCTATTGCCCTCAGCTGCCCTCTCCAGTCCTGTCACGCCATGCTGGCTCAGGCATGTTGCGTGAACTTCTGCCGTGCCTGCCCGACGTGCCTGAGGCATCATACCGCACACGTCTTATACTCAGGGCTGCCACTTGCGGCAACGAAAGCGAGAGCTTCTGAGTCATGGGTGTCTCTTCGAGGGCGAATTCTTCCCAGCTGAGCCAGGGCAACGTTTGGAGCCGCTGCGCAGGTTGCGGACGCCACGGGTGGAACGCAGCCTGTTTGCCAACTTGTGTCACGTGTCAGCGTTCTAAGCAAAGCGCATGTATAAACAATTCTCGCAGCTCTCCTCTCCAGCAACCGAACAGCATTGCCCAAGCCCCCGAGCCAGCCCAACTGGATAACATCACTTCTCTGAAGGACATGGTGTCTTCCACATCAGCCGCGCAGATCATGGAGATGCTGCAACAGATAATCGCCCACCTAGAGACCGTCCCTTCAGCGGCCGCGGATGATGAATCCAGATCCCATTCATGACCCCAGCTGATGAACCCAGATCCCAGTCATCAGTCTCACGGCTCCCAACTGCCAGCCCACTTGGGACGAGTCTGACTTCGAGCATGCGGAGGAGGTTGAGCTTGTGCGGTGCGAGAAGGGCCAACTAAAGCAATTATGAGCAGACCTTGCCAATTCCAGGATCTGTCGGCCACGAGTGACGAAGTAAAGGCGAAGCTCGCCCCAGTTGCTTCCAGAGCGGAGGAGATCGCGAATCGGCGCGCCAAGAAGCGCAAGGGCCAGGGCGGCGCGCCAGCACCCCAGCCACCCGAGCCCGACCTGTCGGCGACCGCTTCTTAGGAGCCTGCCGCGGTCAAGCCAGGGAAGCCGGATGAGAAGGCCGAAGGTGAGGCTGAGACCAAAGAGAAGCAGAGGAAGGAGACGGCTGCCAAGTTGTCGGCCGCCAAGTTCGAGGCGCAGAGGTCTGCCTAGGGCAAGGGGGCCTCCAGCCAGCCCGTTGACATAGGCAAGGGCCCACCGCCCGCCTCGGCAACTGCGGCTTGACTAGCTGAACCAGCTGCCGCAACCGCGACAATGCCAACATCTCCACCAGCAACGGCAGCAACTCGCCCTGGTTTCGATCCAGGGCGGGAGTCGATATGTCTGTGAGAATATAAACTCCAGACGGCGCAGCCTGGAATGCGGGAGTCAGAGGGCAGCGCGAGCTCGCGGGCACTACGGCCCCAAGGGGCAGCAACGTTCACCCCGGAGGGCCGTGCTGAACCCCTGCCTGGCCGCCAGCTCAGGCCGCGACCGCGGCCAACCCGCCCGCCGCCCGGCGGCTGCTCCGTCCTCGTGTTTCTTCCACGGCGGACTTGGCCAGCTGCGCCTGCACCGACGCCGCCATGCCGAAGGTCTCGCGCTTCACGCGATTGGCGCGGCGAACGTGCCGTTCCCCTCCTCCTCCTTCTCCTCCTGCTCGACCGAGCCTTTCTTGGCTTTGTCACACGGCCTACCGTTTGCAGGTGGCGCCTGCGCAGTTCAGCCTACCGCGCGCAAGTGGCGCCTGCGCGAGCCGAGAGTCAGTGGCTCACGGCCCTTAGATCACGACGACGCCATGTCGCCTTGGCCCAGCAGGCCAGCACCCCACCGCGTCTTCAAGTGGAAGTGCCCTTGCGGCTGCGCCAAAAATCTTTCGAGCTGGTGGTGCTGCAAGCGCTGCAAGGAGCAGTGGAACACTAATGTGCGTGTCGAAGTTCCTCCTGCTGCTCGCCGTGCTGACGACGATGGTGACGCCTGGCAGTCGTGGGACACGGAGGCCCTTGCCCCAACTGGTCAGCAGCCTGGCCCCCCGCTTCCACCTGGCCCCGTCGGCACTGGAAGGTTCTCGGCCCGGAGTCATCAACGCGGGCGGGATCAGCATTGAGGACCTCGTCTCCCTGGCTGCGATCGCGACGCGCCAGGGACAGGGTGCTCTTGCCGAGCAGCACGACGCGGTTCGTGAGAAGCTGGTGCAGCAAGCCCAGACAAAGACGTTGCGCCCCGTCTCTCTTCACACTCGGGCCTCGCAGGCTCAGTCCAAGATCAAGAGCGTGGGGGAGCGCCTCGACCAAGAGCTTTCAAAGTTGGAGCGCTGGCGCGCAGGCGCCCTCGCCATGGAGAACACGATACAAAGATGTCTGACGGAACTACTCGGAGCTGGAGATGGCCCCCCTGGTGGTGGAGTCGCAGCACCGCCTCCTGAAGCTGCAGGCGGAGCCTCAGCCGCCTCTGCTGCTCCTGCCTCCGCTGGCTCTGCAAGTGCTGCTCCTGCGGCCAGCGCTCAGCCCTCGGGGGCAGACCCAGAGCTGCGTGCCAGGCTGGCCAGAGCCCGGCGCAGGGCGGAGGCCCCCTTTCAGCCCCCCCCGCCAATCTCGGCCTGAAGAGGGGGGGGGGGGCGCCTTTAACACGGGAGCCCCCCCCCCCTTTCCCCCCCCCCCCCCCCCCTTCGGACTCTCATGCAAGCCTCGCAGCTCCAGCTTCCTCGTCTGCTACTTCTTTCAGGAGGGCTGGGTTTTGTCAGTCGGGGCAGAGCTCACGGCCAGGTTTTAGGGGAATCAACTTTTGTCCAGTATCCCTCGGGCCCGGGGGTGACATGCCCAGGTTCCAGGCCAGCTGACGACGGGATCGAGCTCGCAATCGCCACTGCTAGCTGCAACAGCTGGGGTGCGCTGCGAGACTGGTTGCCTTCGGCTAGATCCTCGCACGTAATTTGTGTGCAGGGGCATCTCCTCGTGGATGATGAATCCATTGGCCGCTCCGCGAAGTTTTGCTTTGATCATGGTTGGAAGAGTCTCTGGCAGCCTGCTGTGCGTGCGCCTGAGGGGGGCTCGTCTGGCGGGGTGGCCGTCCTGGCCAAGAACTTCCTGTGGCTCCAGCAGCCGCATCAATTATATCCGGGACGTGCTTTGGGAGTGATTGCTCATCTCCCTGGGGGTGCCAATTTTTCCCCTGGTTTCGGTTTGCAGTTTCGACGCGGAAGTTTCGACTTACTGAAACCAATTGGCACCTTCTTGTCTCTTGAAACAAACGGCTTGCGCTGTCGGAGGAGACTTCAATATGGGACCAGCGGTTGTCTCGGACACGGGTCTGCTCGAAAAATGCCACGGTGAGATTGCGAGCACTGGTGCGCCCACTTGTGTTGGAGCAAAGCAGTCGGACTATGACGACTTTCTTGTTTCAGGTGGCCTCTCCCGTGGAGTTAAGTTCATTAGGAGATGCGACGACAGCGAGTTCCCGCCGCACTTCGCAGTG